ACGTTTAATGGTCTAATTACAAATAATTTCAAAACATAATTCTGAGCATAATGCATATTTGTTTCTTTATTTAAAAATAAATAAATTTAATACAATAAAAGTTTTGATATTAGCAATAGTGATATTAAAAATATTGATTATACAAAGTTTTAGATAAGAATATAATTTAAATGCGTAAATAATCAGTATATAATTAATAATAACGAATAATTTTTACACAATTCTACTGTCCCTTTTACAAGTACTACTGTTTGGATACTCACGGTAAAATTTGTATTAAAGTTGTAATAACTGCAGCAAATATATATAATAAGCGACGACGTGGTGATTATTTTAGCCAGTACRCGACGGTATATACGGTGAATATGTCCTTGTTCTAATCTAGGTGGCCGAAAATGTGGGACATCACTTGTAAGAGAATAGTATAGTCAATAAAAGCGGACGTAAATACGCATTAAAATTTAAAATACGAGCAGATGGACGGTATGCGAGCGAACTGTTTGCGCGGTTCCAGGCAAGTCATCGGGTCACAGCTGATCGGCCAAGCAGATGACTTTTTCTCTATCTAAGAAGCATAAAGCAATTGTCAATTGCTAACAAGTAACAAGATATCAGCAGATATCAGCTGTTAGCTCAGGTGCTAGGGAATTAGTAGTACCTAGTACCTACCTCGGATCACTCTCCTTTTTGACAATTACCTACGCAGCGTGCCGTTCGTAGTTGTCCGTTTTGACAATGTTGGTTTTCGTGACTTTTTTATGTCTACGTTCGGTATTTGGTACAGCTGATAGTATATAGGTGTTTTATGTATATTAAATGATAACTAAGGTATGAATTTAAATAAAAGACGTCCCGCCGACAATGGTCAATATTTCACCGCCACACAGCGCACTCTGTTGTCACTTTATCGGAGTACGTGCATGTGTAGATCGGGATCCTACCGCTACGTCGCATGTCGTAAGCGTAGGTATAACTGATAACGACATGGTACGTATTATTCCATGTTCGTTACAATATTGCTAGGTACTTTTTATTTAAAATGCAAACTTTATTTCCTTATTACACTTATTGATTTTTATCGCTTAATGATTTTTCTAATAAATATTATTAGGTAATTGGTGATGAACTTGTTGTAGCTGATACATCAAATGAATTGTATAATTTAAGCGGACATAGCGATGATATATCTTATTATATAAAGAAAACCGTAAGTTAATTTATTTATAATTTAATTGTATTACCTGATCTAATACCCATAGACCATAATTAGATTTTAATAATTTTATTTTAGTTAACTGATAGGGAAAAGTCAATAGAAATGGAAAAACAATGGTTTCCTAATCCTGATTATAAATTTCCTAAATYTGGAGATAGGAACTTAAGATTTCAATACTCGTGGTTGCTTCAGTTTAAATAGTTACAATACTCAAAGGAGCAAAAAGGAGTATATTGTAGGATATGTGTATTTTTTAGTCATGATATAGTAAGAAGAGGGACCCTTCAGACTTTAGGAAATTTAGTGACGAGTAAATTTGATAACTAGAAAAATCAATAGGTACTAAAGGCCAATTTCAAGTGCATGCTAATACTCATTATCATAGAACTGGCCAATACAAGTATGACAATTGTCTTACTGTGAAAAATAATTAAGTAGACTCTGTGGAATTACAAATAAAAAATGCATTGAAAAAAGAAATARAAAAAAATAGAAAATGCATTTTACCCATCATTGAAACTGTTTTATTTTGTGATAGACAGGGAATCGCACTTAGAGGTCATCGGGAAAATAAACCACTTATTAGTTCTGAGTTAGATGTCAGTACAAATGATAATAACGGAAATTTCAGACAKTTACTGAGATTTCGAGTAGACTCTGGAGATTAAGATCTTTCAGATCATTTACAAAATAATGCGAAACATGCGTTGTATGTTAATTGGATTTTACAAAATTAGATTCTCATGATGTGTAACAGTTTAATTTTAAAACATTTTGTAGAAGATATAAATAAATTTAAAGGGTTCATTGTACTAACCGACCAAATAACTGATATATCACACAAAGAACAGTTGACAATATGTGCAAGATACATTTATACTGATCAAAAAGAGATCCTAGAATATTTTTTGCAGTTTGTAAAAGTCAAGGATGTTACTCGAAAAGCACTTGCTACAACCATTTTGCAATGTTTAAAAAGTATTGGATTGTAAGTAAAATATGAAGTCGGTCAAGGTTACGATGGGACAACAGCAATGTCTGGTAGGTTTAACAGTGTGCAGACACACATTAGAAACGACCACCCTATGGCATTATATGCAATGCGCATCTCACTGCCTAACCTTGCAATATCGCACAGTTGTAATGTAGCAGATATTAGGAATTCCACGGGAATAATGCAATCAGTGTGAACATTTTTTGGATATCCTAAAAGACAAAATATCTTACAAGAACAACAACATAACACCAGAATCCAAGTCATCAAAATTAAAGTAATTTTGTGCTAAAAAATGTATTGAACGTCACGATGCAGCGGCAAAGCACTCTAAAATATAAAAATGTTTTTTTTTTCAAATTCACAACCCCCCCTCTCCCATCCAAAAATGAATCCTGTTTGCGCCACAGTGTCTTATTTTCTTGCTGTTAGAAGGTACTATAACCAAARTACCTAAAGCTAATTGATAAAATTATTATTTTATATTACATAAAAATTTTTGAATGTAAACAACACACCTTGTATTATGTAGATTACAAGCAAATTATTCAAACTGTAGACACTGAACAGACGCTGAATAGGCATTTTGTATTACTATAACATATTCGTTTTATATAGTAGCCTGTAGCACAATTAGTCGTTGATTTATATTACGCTTCGGAGCACTATGATTATTCACATCAATTATACATATTATTATATTATTACATATATCCGATCTTATTATTATTTACATCTAGAATCTGTATATCTGTGTACCTCAAACACAAATTGCCATTTTGCTTATATAATGGCTAAAAATGAGATAGTGATATATTTTCATAATTTAAATAACAGATAAAAGTAATATATCTAACTATGAAAAAAAAACACCATGATAAATCACAAAACTATTTAAATTAATCGTTAAATTGAATTGTTTTTAATTTAGTTACTTTTGAGTTTGTTACTATATTTTATTAGATATAACTAACATATACAATATTTGTTTTGTTAATTCCTATATTTATAGGTAGCTTTTATATGATTTGAAGAAAAGTATACTTGTATACATATAAATAGATAACGGTTAAAAAAATATACAAAGTAATAATCTTACAACTATGTTCAATTTAGTTTATCATTATGTAATTTTATTCGTTTTATCGAGAGTAAATCTAACAATTCAAGTATTCAATTGGATGATATTTATTGAAGTGCATTTCGATACTCAATATTTTTTGTTCTTTCTTCTGATGCGTACACAAGTAAATCAGAAGAAATGGGGAATCGGAAACTAGCTCCAACTTATTTCTGTAAAATAATAGCAACAACCAATTAGTTTATTATTGACAAAGTTTTCTCAAATCTACCACAAAATTACGAAAATYGTCAGTGGCTCATTGAACGAGCCATATTGGAGTAAATACCTACAATCAATAACACCATTCTAAACGAAATTCCAGGCGACACGAAACGTACCAGTCCATCGATATCGTAATAAATCAAGACAAAGTTGTAAATTATCCAACTAAATTCTTAAATTCACTTGATTCGTCAGACATGCCATCACATGATATAACATTAAATAGTCAGGTACTAACACTAATCAGTTACGGGTCCCTAAAATACAGTCGAACTAAGAATTTATATTTCGAAACCTTAAGGCTTAGACCATATAGGTACATCATGAGGAAACTCATATCTCTTTTAGTGCTCTCAGAACAAGCTACATGGAAAGAGTATTATACTATGCAGATTAAATACCACTCCAACTCACACTAGATAAAAATACTCTTATATACTATATTAAAAGGAAAACTATTTTGAATTAAATAGATCATATAGATTTATTTAAAAACCAAWACTCAACATAAATCACAATTTCACGAAATAACTTACAACACACTACACTGACTTCAATTGTTGTGATAAAATAAAWATATGGACATCTGTCAAAGAAAAAATCATCTTTTAAAAATTCTCAACGAAGAAAAATTTTCAAAAATCATAAAATTCAACTCTAAGGTAGGATCAAATTCAATCGCTAAATGTAACCTCGTCAACTTAGTTAATCTCTATTGAAAACACACTTTAAATTATATATTTGTAAATATTATCAAATATGTATTTTAATTAAATTCAATTTTTTTTTTATGTTAGCTTTAGAATAAATAAAATATAATGGAAAAATGAAGAAGAATCTGCTAAAATATATTCAAAATTATAATTCATATTTAAAAGTATGCACGCCTAATCCAATGTAAGACAGTTTTCAAATGCAGTTATATTTAGAAATAATATAGGTAATACATATTACATAAAGCAGTTCAGATATTTATAAATATTTTTTTTGTTAAKCATCTATATATATAGGTACTTAATATTAGGTTAGATTTTGTAATAATTTTGTCATTGATTTGGTCATATCTAAAATTAATCAATTAAATTTACTGTTTATTATTTATTTATTTAATTAATTAATTATATATTGATCATTAAATTGAAAAGAAAGCAGTATCCGGTTTATATTCTTCACTTTTAAATTCTAAAATTGTATCATAGGTCCTCAGTCATTTCATTAACCGAATTGTGGCACTGAAAAAACGAATTTATATCATAAAATAGAATACATATTCTGATTTGTAATGGTAATTTATCCAAGCAAATAATGTATTCTAGTATAGGTACCAATCATCCATGTATAATGTCACCCATACTATAGTTTTTAATTTTATAAGTGGTATGTAAATAGCAAATATGCATCTGGTATTTGAAAAAGATAAAATCACAATAACTCACCAGCCTATCAACGACTTCCGCTATTTCTTTTTCACATTCTTTGATCGCTAATTCAGCTTTTTCATTGAAATTATCGACTTTATTTGGCAATTTTGAATGCATTTTAGTTTTATTTTCACGGATCTTAGCTTCTATCAATTTTTCTCGCTTAGTTTCCCTCTCAAACATCTGTTAATAAATAATATAAAATTTWAAAAAAMCGTCATCCATTGGAACTTCCATTGATTTTGAGACCATAAAATAATTTCTACACTATATAAAAACAAAATTTTAGTACATCCAAATATTAAATGCATTTACCAATTTTTA